ATCAAAATATTGAAAATACCAAAAAAATTTAAATTTTCATTACTGCAAATTTCATGTTAAACAAGTTGAACTGAGATTCACTTACCGGTACATACTTGTCTTTTATGTTTACACCTGTATTTTTTTTTATAGACTCTTGTAGTAGAAAGTAATTTAGTTTTATTTTCTCTCTATTTATATTATTTGTTTTACAATGCTATACATGATAAAAATTATTTTTGGGGGAAGAAAAATCTTTAAAAACATTACTTTATTTATCCTTAATAGCATACATTTAAGTGGACATATTTTTAAATGATTTGGGGAGTGTGGGGAGTGTGATCTTAATTAAAAATTATTTCAATATTTAGTAAGAAATGAAGTAGAATCCTTAATTAAAACTTTATGTAAATGAGACTTCACTAGAGTTAAAATGATTGTATATGTGGAAAATTAGGAACCTTAGGATACATTTATATAAGAGTTTAGCCTTTATTTTCTTTTCAACTAATACTTTAAATTTTTTTAAAAAAAATTGTTCAGTGAAGGGATTTGATAAGTTGTACTTTGAGTAGATAATAGTGAAATTTAAAACTTTTAAATGTCTATCCAGATATAGTAATCCTCTTATAGATATATTAAGGATTGAAAACCATCCTAAATTTAAAAGATATGAAAAAAAAATTGAATAAGTTAGGAGAAACTTAAGGAGAAGCCTAACTAAAAATTGGTTTCACTAAAGTCTATTCAAAGTCTTAACGTCATCATGATCCTAAATTTTATGGTCTTTAAAAAGTATTACTCAAACCTTTTTAATGAAGTGCTTAACTCTACTTTTCATTCCTAAAGGAACCAGATTTAACATGTGCAATGATTTTTGGGAGTAGATAGAAAATCAATATTTCTAAAGTTAGCTACAAGGATTACTTTTACCTTAGTGTTAAGCTTATTTACTAGAGTTGATGGTAATGAACTATGACATTCTTAAGGAAAAATTGAAGGAAATTTGTATTAAGTGCACAGCCTCAAATTAATAAAACTAAATTAAAAATTCTGGTGTTACTTGAGGACAATTAACATTTAAGTCTAGGAGATTTTGATATGCCTTATAGTATGTTCAATTTCTTTTACATTTAACACATGCTTTTGATGAAATTGCATTTTTAATGAAAGGTATGATCCCGAAATACTATTTATGTGCACAATATAACAATGTCTTTGGTGAAATTTTTCACTTATTTTTCCTTACTTCGCAATAGAACCAAAAACTTTATTATGGAGAAAATAACAATTTAACTTTTTAATTTATATATACATTAGGATACTATGCAAGTATACCTATCGTTATCAAATAATATAGGACTTTTTGAATAAGCCCCAAATATCGAACTCACAGGTAATTTCACAATATGCAATATTAATAGACAAACTTTCTATTTTAAAAAGACAATAACTTAAAATATATATATTTTCACAGTAGGTAAAATTCAAATCTTTTTGTATTTTTGATATTTTAACAAAACAATAAAACTTCTAAAGATAACTTGAGTTTATGTAAAAGAAAAACACTTGATATGAAAATATATTTCTCCTTATCATGAGTCAGTAATAAGTATAAGATTTATGTTGTGGAAGTATGTGAAATGTGTTGTGACAAATAGAAACAATATTATTCTTTACCCTTACTAGAACATTGGTTAATTTAAAGTTTGAATAGTTCTAAAGACTGGCTAGGCAGGAAAGATACCAGCACTCACTCTAGAGTTCCCTTGATTCCCTCCACCTTGGGGCTAACATCTCGTATCAAAACCTAAAACAATAAACCAAGTTAGGGGCTTTAACATGTCACTTTAAAGTCCTCTAACTCTAGACCCTTCAAAGTTATTTATTTGCACTATTTGCACTCAATCATATGAATTACATTCTCATTCATACAACCTCATGTGATTTTTTCCTATTGTTGACTGAGATAATACCAGCTCGGTTCTTACATGTTCTCACAACAAATTTTAACATCTCGATGGGCCAAATCAAGAATTAAATTAAGTGCATGGAATTAAAGCATCACAACTTCTTCCAACATTAAAGATCAATATTCTCCACAACTTTCATCCAAGACTTTAATTACTTATCATTTTAAGGAAAAGATGAAGAAAACTACTCAGAATCCATGGAGAAAAAAAAAAAAATTTTTTTTTTTTGTTGATTTGTGATTTAAAATTTCAAAGCGTTGCAACAAGCGCGAAGGGGTGAAATAAAACCAAAAGTAATTCAAGAACAAAGATAAAAACTTATCTCAAATCCTCCACCAAACTCTTGAAGTTCCTTTGAATCTCTTCTCTTTTACAACACTCTTGACCCTCACAATAAAACTAAAAATAAAAAGGATAAAGTAAATTTGTAGTGCCTGAAAATCTCTTCAAGCGTTCTTCCCAAAACTCCCCCTTTTTAAGCACTTTTCAGGACTCTTCAGAAAGTCTCAACTTTCTTCTTTTATAAATCTCCAAGCGGTGTCTTGGTAACTCTTTAGAATGTATACAAATTTGATGTATTCTCCAAAGGATGCCTCCTTTCATACGTCTTTTAATTATATTTTTATTTCTAGTGGACATAACCGCCCTCTTTAGCCATTGGTGCCTCAAATATCTCCTCAAAATTTGGCAAAACAAATTAAACCGTCAAATAACCGCCTCTGGCGCTTGAGCGCGGGGCCTCCGGCGTTTAGGCGCGGCCTTCTCTATTTCACTGGCGCTTAAGCGACGGATCTAGTGCTTAGGCCCCAAAACTCTTTTGCACCATTTTCATATTTTTGCTCCAAATTTGATAATTTTTCATTCATTTTAGCATTTTTCATTTTCTTACTTGTACATGAAAGAAAAACACACAAATACCTTCCATTAAAGCGCAATATCTCAAAAATAGGTATAAAATTGTGTCTAAAAATACTTTATATTTTAGGTGTATCAAGGTACATTTTTATTTTTTTGCTGGTATAATTGTTTGGAGACTGGAGCTGAGATGGAGTGAAACAAAGGCAAAATAGAGCGCTTGGGGAACAATATTTTTCCAACACAGTGGTGCCTAGAAGCTAGACTTGGGTGCCAAGGCGCTCCACCATGGAGGCTTTTTGCCAGCCTAGTGGCACCTAGGCGCCAAACTTCACCCAGCAGAGAGAGATACTGGCACTTAGGAGCCTAGGCGCCAGCTCTATGGTGCATAGATGCTAGAACTACTCAGAGCAGTTTCCATTGTTACTTTGACATGAATTTGGGAGTTAAGACGTGTCAGAGGTAGTTCGAGCAAGTCCATCAGATCATTGTGAAAACTTGGAGGAAGCCAAAGAAGACAAGAGAGGAGAGTTTAGATTTAGGTTTTACTTTTACTTCATTTTCTTATAGAGATTGGACAGGGAGTTGAGAGAATTCTATAAGGGAAAGCTTTTAGCAGTGGAGAGAGCATTTAGAGACTAAATGGGGAGGAGTTTTCACCTCTTTTCTCAGAGAGAAATTTAAGTGTTGAATTCTATATTGTCTTGTATTATTCACAAACTCATTTACCATCAATTTGCTTGATTATAAGATTATTAAATTTAGTGTTTTCTTTGTGCACTGTGAGTAGTTTCTTTATACATTTCTCTTGTGATGAATTAGTTAGATGTGTAGGATTTATGATTCTCTTAGAATAGGCTTTTATTAATTAAAGTGATAGTTTTCTTTTGTGCATATTTACTTATCATTCAAGTCAAATGATATGTTAAAATTCTTTGTGAACCCATAGAGACCCGGGAGAGCTATAACATGAACAACTAAGAAGAAACACATTGCACTAGTGGGTGAAGGAAAAGGGAAAAGTAGTCCAAAGTAGTCCATATGACAATGCAAATAGACAGAGGAATACACTTTTATGGGTTCAATTTTGGGTTTCTAGGGTGATAGACAAAAAAACTAACCATGTTGAACCAAACATTTTTATGCACTCGGGAGAGGGTAAAGAAGAGGATTACGACTATTTGTCACTAGCTACAATTTCTGTTCTAAGTGTTCCATTCTTACACACGACTTATGCCATTGCAAGGGAAGGTTAGCTTCTATATCTTGATTTTCCTTGTTTATTTAGCTTTAGTAGAACTACCTTAAGAATAAATTAATAGGGTTATCGATAATTTAGTAGGACTAGTAAACAAAACTTAAACCAACTTTACTTCCAAGCTAAGACTAATTATAGTGGGCTAGAACTTTTCTTATGCTCAATTACTGCATTCTTTGTAGGATCAATAATTCAGACTCAATAATACGATATTACTAGTACGAAGCATAAACTTAAGTGAAAACCCTAGTGTGTAAATTTCACTTAGATTGGGAAATGTATCAAGATCTTGGCATTGTTGCCTGGAATAAAGGTGTAGTGTCACATTGAAGCACAAATCAAGTTCCAAATTCATATTACCCGTTTAATATTACAAGAAAGTTCATCCATAGGTACACCGAGAGAGTAGCATAACCCCACAAAAGCCCAAATCCTAGTATATCTCAAGCTGCTTTGTTTTGTGCACCTAATATAACTAATATCTCTGTAAAACAATTATTCAATTTGCAATGACCAATAATTACCTTCTTACAACATCTTTAAAATTACGCAATCTCCATTTTGAATTCATGCAGGGGCTATTTATTTACAATTTTACTAGTTGGTAGAAAATAGATAATGATAAATGTTGAAGTAGACATTTCTATCTTTTGTCCATAGACAGATAACGCACAACAAATTTATAACGGCGTAGTCCCAAATGCATCCTAAACTAACTTATAACACGCAAACGCAAACGACGACCGCGTCGCGTTGGACTCTCCGAGGTTTCTTCAACCAATGTTTTCAACTGTGAAGTATTCCTTCCCCTCTTCCCCCCATCATCCCTTCCATCTTCTCCCCAACGCGCCTTCACATGCCCCACCTCCTCAAATCTATAGTTTAAACACCAATTCCAGCCCTCCAAACTCTAGAAATCTCCCCTTTTCTCCTCCATGGACCTCTTCCAGCGCGCCAAGGCCGTCCGCCTCCGCAGCCATAACGAGATGTACCTCCTTGCTGAAGATGATGAAGAGCTCTGCCAAAACCGCAACGGCACCACGTGGAAGGCGCAATGGCAAGTAGAACTTTTGGATGAAGGTCAGCCGCTTATTCGCCTCAAGAGCTGCTTTGGCAAATACCTCTCCGCTTCCAACGAGCCTTTGCTCCACGGCGTCACCCGCCGCAGGTTTTTTCAGGCGGCTCTTGGCCACCGCCTTGATTCCTCTCTTGAGTGGGAGTCGGTTCGCGATGGATTTCAGGTTAAGCTCAAAACTAGGTATGGTCATTTTCTCCGTGTGAACGGTGGGCCACCGCCTTGGAGAAATACTGTGACGCATGATATTCTGCATCTTCACATGATTGAGTTCTCTGGGAGGATGATATTATGGAGGTCCGGGCTTACATACCGGGAGAAAACAAAATCGCACTTTAGTTTAAAAGTAGAAATCATTGTCAAACCAACAAGAAGTCTAAATTAAAACCAAAAGTAATTCAAAAACAAAGATAAAAACTTATCTCAAATCCTCCACCAAACTCTTGAAGTTCCTTTGAATTTCTGTTCTTTTACAACACTCTTGACTCTCACATTAAAACTAAAAATAAAAAGGATAAAGTAAATTTGTAGTGCCTGAAAAATCTCTCTAAACGTTCTTCCCAAAACTCCCCCTTTTTAAGCACTTTTCAGGACTCTTCAAAAAGTCTCAACCTTCTTCTTTTATAAATATACAAGAGGTGTCTTGGTAACTCTTTAACATCTGTACAAATTCGATGTATTCTCCGAATGATGCCTCATTTCATAAGTCTTTTAATCATATTTTCGTTTCTAGTGGTCATAACCACCCTCTTTAGCCAATGGGTGTCTCAAATGTCTCTTCAAAATTTAACAAAATGAATTAAACCGTCAAATAACCACCTTTGGCGCTTAAACGCGGGGCCTCCGACTCTTAGGCGCGGCCTTCTTTATTTCACTGGCGCTTAATCGACGGATCTGACGCTTAGGCGCCAAAACTCTTTTGCACCATTTTCACATTTTTGCTCCAAATTTGATAATTTTTCACTCATTTTAGCATTTCTCATCTTTTTACTTGTACCTGAAAGAAAAACACACAAATATCTTCCATTAAAGTGCAATATCTCAAAAATAGGTATAAAAATGTGTCTAAAAATACTATATATTTTAGGTGTATCAAGGTACATTTTTATTTTTTTGCAGGTGTAATAGTTTGGAGACTGGAGCTGAGATGGAGTGAAACAAAGGCAAAATAGAGCACTTGGGGAACAATATGTTTCCAAAACAGTGGTGCCTAAGCGCTAGACTTGGGGGCCAAGGCGCTCCACCATGGAGGCTTTTAGCCAGCCTAGTGGCGCCTAGGCGCCAGAGTTCACCCAGCAGAGAGAGTCAGTGGTACTTAGGAGCCTAGGCGCCAGCCCTGTGGTGCATAGATGCTAGAACTGCCCGGAGCAGTTTCTACAGTTACTTTAACATGATTTTGGGAGTTAAGACGGGTCAGAGGTAGTTCGAGCAAGTCCATTAGATCATTGTGAAGACTTGGAGGAAGCCAAAGAAGACATGAGAGGAGAGTTTAGAGTTAGATTTTACTTTTACTTCATTTTCTTATAGAGATTGGATAGGGAGTTGAGAGAATTCTATAAGGGAAAACTTTTAGCAGTGTTGTGAGCATTTAGAGTCTACATGGGGAGGAGTTTTCACCTCTTTTCTCAGAGAGAAAGTTAAGTGTTGAATTCTATATTGTCTTGTACTATTCGCAAACTCATTTACCATCAATTTGCTTGATTATAAGATGATTAAATTTAGTGTTTTCTTCATGCACTGTGAGTAGTTCCTTTATACATTTCTTTTGTGATGAATTAGTTGGATGTGTAGGATTTATGATGCTTTTAGAATAGGCTTTCATTAATTAAAGTGATGGTTTTCCTTTGTGCATAGTTTACTTATCATTCAAGCCAAATGATATGTTAAAATTCTTTGTGAACCCATAAAGACTCGGGAAAGCTATAACATGAACAACTAGGAAGAAACACATTGCACTAATGGGTGAAGGAAAAGCTGTCCATATGACAATGCAAATAAATAGAGGAATACACTTTGATGGGTTCAAATTTGGGTTTCTAGGGTGATAGGCAGAAAAACTAACCATGTTGAACAAAACATTTTTAGGAATGTGAACTTTATTAGTTGTTTTGTGCACGTAAATTAACTAATGTCTCTGAATGTTACAAGTGGAATTGGTATTCAGGATTAAATAAATCCCCAAGTTAGAAGTTCTATTTAGGAATGTGAACTTTATTAGTTGTTTTGTTATTAAAACAATTTTTCAATTTGCAATGACAAATAATTACCGTCTTACCACATCTTTAAAATTACGCAATCTCGATTTTTGAAGTCATGCAGGGGCTATTTATTTACAATTTTACTAGTTGGTAGAAAATAGATAATGATATAAATGTTGAAGTAGACATTTCTCGCACAGCAAATTTATAACGGCGTAGTCCCAAACGCATCCTAAACCAACTTATAACACGCAAACGCAGACGACGACCGCGTCGCTTTGGACTCTTCGTGGTTTCTTCAACCAATGTTTTCAACTGTGAAGTCTTCCTTCTCCTCTTCCGCCCGTCTTCCCTTCCATCTTCTCCCCAACGCGCCTTCCCATGCCTTACCTCCTCAAATCCATAGTTTAAACACCAATTCCAGCCCTCCAAACCCTAGAAATCTCCCCTTTTCTCCTCCATGGATCTCTTCCAGCGCGCCAAGGCCGTCCGCCTCCGCAGCCATAAGGAGAAGTACCTCCTCGCTGAAGATGACGAAGAGCGCGTCTGCCAAAACCGCAACGGCACCACGCGGAAGGCGCGATGGCAAGTAGAACTTGTGGATGAAGGTCAGCCGCTTATTCGCCTCAAGAGCTGCTTTGGCAAATACCTCTCCGCTTCCAACGAGCCTTTGCTCCACGGCGTCACCGGCCGCAAGGTTCTTCAGGCGGCTCCTGGCCACCGCCTTGATTCCTCTCTTGAGTGGGAGCCGGTTCGCGATGGATTTCAGGTTAAGCTCAAAACTAGATATGGCCATTTTCTCCGTGCGAACGGTGGGCCGCCGCCTTGGAGAAATACTGTGACGCATGATATTCTGCATGTTCACCATGATTGGGTGCTCTGGGAGGTTGATATTATGGAGGTCCGGGCTTACATACCGGCGGCGGGGTCGGGATGCTTCACAGGCGGCCGAGTCTCCCCTGGCTCCAGAGTCGGTGGAGTCTTCACCGAGTTTTTCGAAGCAAGAGGTTGTTGTCTGTTAACTTTGCTTTTATGATTTGTTGAACTTTTTTCTGATTTGCTTCTTCATTGATGGGATGGATTGCTTGTGAAAACAAGATTTTATAATTGAGAGTCTCTGTTTGGATGCTGGAAATTTATGTGAAAGGACATGAAAAAGGGATTGAAGGTCTGAATCAATGGTTGCTGATTCATAATCAACTCTTACTATTTGTAATTCAGTCATTACCATCCTTGATTTATCCTGATATTTTCTTCTTCTTTTTGGATGATTGCAGTCTTTCTCATCTTCTGCCAGTAATTCACCACAGAAGTCTTTATCGTCTGCCTCCAGTGGTTCTCCTCGCACATTTAATTGCAGGATTGTTAACTATACGGTTGCAAATAATGACGGATCCGTTGATGCTGATACGAAGGAGTTCACCTTCAGATTTCAAGGAACAAGTGTCGAAGAGCTGACGCAGAAGCTGGAGGAAGAAACTGAGCTGGGTCATATTATATTGTGCTCAAAGAACCCAGTGAATGGGAAGCTCTATCCCCTTCGCCTCCAACTTCCTCCCAATAAAAAAACCATGAATGTTGTTGTGGTTCTGGCCTCATCCAAAGGTTCGTATTTTCATTGCAATTCTATTATTTTTCAGCTGTATGTTGTGCTCTAAATTCTATTATGAACTTTGAATGATAAGTTGATAATAATAATGAAAATATTTTACTACTTTGGCGGTCTCATAATGGTTGCATCTTCTGCATGCTTGTTACGGAGTACGTTCTACGTGCGTATAGATGTTATTCGGGAGGTATTGGAGGGTTATGTCGTTATTTTTGGGGTTAATACTTACAATAACCTGACAATGAAAATATTTTACTACTTTGGCGTTCTCATAATGGTTGCATCTTCTGCATGCTTGTTTCGGAGTACGTTCTACGTGCATATAGACATTATTCGGGAGGTATTGGAGAGTTATGTCGTTATTTTTGGGGTTAATACTTACAATAACCTGACAAAACTTATGAATAACAACAAAAAATATGAGTGCAGAACCGCAGAATGTATTGGTAGGTTATTGTGGGGCTATTGGGATGTTATATTTCAATAACCTGGGGCTATTGAGAGGTTATATTTCAATAACCTCTCAATAACCCCCAAGAGCTAAGTTATTGAAAGGTTATTTATGGGAGTACGTACACAGAACTGCATGCGTACCCCGTACGTTCCCCCGCCACACATACATTAGAACAACACCTGTTTGATTGAAAGTCTAAATTCTCAACCAAAAACTTAAAATAACCTAGCGGCTTCGCTCCCTCTCTCTTTTCTGTTACTTTAAGAGTAAGAAAAGGGAGTAGGATAGATGAATATTTTCATCTCTTGCTTAGATTTTTAGTTATCATTTCCTTAATGTAACACTAATTTTCAACATACTGTATCTATTATTTTCATTAAATTGACTTTCATAATTAATTACAAGAGCTGAGTTATTGAAAGGTTATTTATCGGAGTACGTACACAGAACTGCATGCGTACTCCGTACGTTCCCCCGCCACACACACATTAGAACAACACCTGTTTGATTGAAAGTCTAAATTCTCAACCAAAAACTTAAAATAACCTAGCGGTTTTGCTCCTCTCTTTTCTGTTACTTTAAAGAGTAAGAAAAGGGAGTAGCATAGATGAATATTTTCATCTTTTGCTTAGATTTTTAGTTATCATTTCCTTAATGCAACACTATTTTTCAACATACTGTATCTATTATTTTCATTAAATTGACTTTCATAATTAATTACTTATTTACTTCTAATGTTTATCTATCTTTAACAATTTTTCCATCCTTTTCTACAGCTGCAAAGATTTTGGGAAAGCATGAGAATCCCCTGTAGAAAATTCCCTTGAATCATGCCATATTTCTTATTCAAATTCAGAGGATATATTCAACATTCTTCCAAATTATACGCAGTTGTGATACAGATTGAAGATTATTATACAACTCATGTATCGGTTCAGCCCATAATTTTGTTAGTTTAGGTATTTTTGAAACAGCTGTTGTTCTGTACTCATATTATCATACTGACATTGTAGTGTATGACTACCTTTATTTTGTTCTTTCAATTTGTTCGTGTAATATGTGTGAAAATATCTTAGTTAAATTGTTTGTGGCACTTTGTAATTATTTGTTGCAATTCATTCTTTGATAGGATTGTCTTTTGGTTTGAAAAGTCAAAAAAAATTTTCTGCTTACAATTTTGTGCCGTATCAGTCTTTTGTAGAATATGTTAAAAATCTACGTGACCCACTAAAAAAAAAAATAAAGCTAAAATGATCCGATGAGCCCCCGGAATTTGGAGAAAAATTTGCGTACGTAAAAGAGTGCGCAGCGCTGAGTACATAATGTAGGTTATATTCACGTTATATCCGTATTATATTCGTGTTATGTCGTCTGTAACCTCCATATAACTTATATGTAAGCTATCTGAACTTACAAATAAGTTTCGCGCTTTTGTTTTCACATATCTGTAGGTTACATGTAGGATACATGGAAGTTATATGGAGGTTACAGGGGATATAACTCGAATATAATGTTGATTAACACGAATATAACCCTCATTATATATGCAGCGCTGCGTACATCTTACGTATGTAAATTTTTTCCCGGAATTTGAGAATTCTCTAAAAAGTAGTAAAATTTATTTTTTTTTTATGTAGTTTAAATAATTTTAGGAATTTTGCCTCCTTATGATATGTTTTTATCCCAATATTTTAAAATATTAGATTTTTGATAATTTTACTCAACATAAAAATTAATATTGGTTCTGCCTATACTCATGCATCCATCCATCCATGCATGCATATTGTGACACTTCAAAATTTTCCATTTTTTTATACTGGTAACCTAATTTTATGATATAATTAATATATAATGTAATAAATAATGTTTTTTCATAATCGATGACATCAAAATGG